GAAGCCGAGAAGCAACTACAAGAGATTTAGTTTTAGACCTTCAGGCTGCCACGGGAACCCGAATTAGCCGTTCTCATGCTGCATGAAGGCTGAACGAGATCGGATTGTATGCGAAAAAACCAATGGTTTGTTTCTCGCTCACTCCAGCTTGTAGAGGGGCCTGTGTAAACTGGCGTCGTCGTCATGTTCAGTGGAGCCAGACGACTGGCTCGAGTGTTGTTTACTGACGAATTCAGATATACTCTGAACAGGGATTCTGGACGTCTTTTGATCTGCAGAGAGGAAGGAACACACAACTTGCCTTCCGTTGTCCGTGAAATATCCCATTTCCGCGACTACGGTTTAATGGTTTGGGGAGGAATCATGATGGCCGCACCGAGCTGCATATCTTTTCAAAACCCAAGTTAGACTGTTAAAGGGGTGTTGTTGACTCAGAGTTTTAGCTAACGGATAACAATGCTTGGCCTCATCGAGCATATGTGGTGTCGGAATACTTGCAAACAGAAGATATCACTTGAATGGACTAGCCACCTTACTTACCGGACTTGAACTCGATTGAGCATGTGTGGGATGCCTTAGAACACCAAATTCTTCCTCGGACTCACCAGGAAATGAAAAGTCCACTTTTAGAAGAGTGGCATGCAATTCCACAAGATTCGACCAATCCTTGGTAAAGTCCATGAAATCAAGATGTGAAGTATGCATATCTGTCCATATTAAAGAAAAATTGTAACCTCAAGAGGTTACTTAATTTTTCCCATCTTCCATAAATATGGTTTTAATTTCACTATTTTGCGAATAACCAACTGCCAAACATTGTAATTTATGTTAAATTATGTTTTGTACAAATTTCTATAAATAATTTTTTATTAAATATCAGTTACGTTTTATTTCTGTCATTATCTTTTAATTTTGATAACTAGAGTAGTATTCTAAAAGTCTAAACTTAGTTTATTTAAGATGACCATTTTGATTATTATCTATTTTATCTAACAGGAATTAAATTAACTTTTTCCCTTCTTATAAGTTTATTTTTACTTCCTTGTACGAAATAAAAAGGAAGTATTGTAATCGCGAAAAATTTCAGGCAGTATATTTCAACAAAAATATCCATTTTGACCGCTATCGAATGCAATTTAACGATGTTTTTGCGTGATATCTGTACATAAGAACAGAATAAAAGACTCGTTTCCTCCATAAAAACTAAAAAACTGCTTTAAAATGAATTCTGAAGAGAATTTTTCGTGGCGTCTGTACGAACGTATGTACCTACGTACGTACGTATCTCGCATAACTCAAAAACGAGTAGCCTCAGAACGTTGAAATTTTGTATATAGGACTGCTATAACATGTAGATTAGCACCTCGTATTTTGGTTGCAATCGGCCGCACCAAGCGTATAAAATATATTTATATATATCCACTCTGTTACCCACCGGCTGAGTGATTTCAGTTTCTTTACTCTTATATGTTTGTAAATTGTACATTTTTTGCTTTAAAAATGATTGAATTATGTTGTTTTTATCTTCCGGTTAAGGTTTTTATGCCTTTAGTAAATCTGTATGCAATATTTTTAGAATTATCAACAATTTTAAAGTTGTTTAAGTGCCGCTAAGCCTTTTTTTCATGGCGGCCATTGATTGTTTTGAAACAGCAGACTAGTGGAATTGTTGCCAATCTAGAGAAACTTAGCTTCGCAACAACAAAGATAATGCCTTCATTTATTATTGCCTATTAAATCATGCTTAATCCTTTCTGGAATTTTTTCGAGGAAATAAGTAAGTGTTTAAGATTTACTTCGTAAATTTTAATATAGATATTTTGAGTTTTTATGTATTTTTGCCTTCTCGCCAAGAGAGAACTGAATTAATTGAATGAGAAATACTCAATCGTCTGTGAAAAATTGTTTCTTTTTTGTTTTGTTTGCTTAATTTCTTTTATACATCATTCTAGCTTTATTATAGTATTTGAATAGAACATGTGGCAACGATTAGATAATTCTATTCTTTAAATGATATAAATTTTGTGCATTATGAGTTATAATATGAACGAAATATAATACTATTAAGTGAATCTAGCGCCAGAGTGTCGCTATGGTAAACAAATACTAGAGTGAATTTTAAAGAATGCATTTATTCTATTTTGGTTTATGCGTTGTCGGCGAAGTAGTTTTAATTCAATCCAATAAGTTTAAATGGAATGCAAGAAAAAATGCGCATAATTTAATATTCCGTACAAGGAAGTCATGTGGTGTACACATCAGATTTTTTAATACTGTTATTGTAACAAATTGGTGTTTATCGCTCGTCATTTCTTCTTTGTTTTCAATTTAACCTTTAAAGAAAAAAAGCATTTATCAGTCTATGATTTTCCCAAATATTTTGAAATTTTATTTATGAAAATTCCGCAAGGCGAAATTTTCTTTGTTTATCACAAATACATTGTCCATTTCTTAAGCAATCGTAATAAGAAAAAGAATATGCTGTTGTAATTATGTTGCAAAATATGTTTTGATGCAAGAACAATTATTCTGAGTTCACTGTGAAAATAAAAACAGCGATACTAAAGGAACTGCTTTGAGTCATAACTTTGACCTTTTGGTTTTCTGAATGCCTTAGCCACTAGGCTCGCGTGACTGCTTCTTTATTTATTTATGGCAAGAATGTTTGCTGTCCTTATCCTATATATCAGTTTCACTGTCTTTCACGCTAAGGAGGCGGGAATGAATGAATGTGTCTGGAAGATAGAAAAGGCGTGTACCGAATAGAAAGGGCTAAAATAGCGCAATCTGGTTTCTGAGATGAAAAGGGAAACCAAAAAATGAAAAAAAGGAGGTTGCGGTTGTTTGAGGTACGTGTGCGCAGATCGTAGGGAAAAAAGGGAATTTTTCATTTGCCGAGAACTCCGTATTTTAGTTATCGAAATCCTTTGCATGCACATCCTTCATCATTTTTTATTTTCCCTTCTGATTCTCAGAAATTAAAAAATAATTAAAATTATTGAACCTTTATTTTAAATACTGCTTTCTGTCAAATGGTTTTGCTTAGCTGTGTGTTAATATGCATTTCATTCAAGTTTCAATTTTGACATGAGAATAAAAAAGGAAAAGCTTTCTATCTGGAATATTCAGCATTTCTAAATAAATAAATGAAATGAAAAAAAAATGCACCTTTTAATTTGAAAGTACATAATGGTGGAAAATAATCTAGTGAATAACGATAGATAGGCATAATGCGGTGCGCATTACTGACTTTCAAAATGTTACTAACAGAAATTTTCGAATACGATTTGAAAATAAAGAATAATAAAAAAAGAAAAGATGTATTTTAATATGTGAATATATGCCGTTAGCAACATTGTTTATTAATTAGAGTAATGCAGCCTATGTAATTACAATACATTTTTAAAAATAATAAAATAAAAATTGAAGTTATTAAAAATGTGACAATAATGTATGGAGGCATACAAAATCGTCTTATTATAGATACATGCTTCATACTGCTTTCTTGCTTACGCGTTACAAGTAATATAGATTTCATGTGATATTCAGAACGATGTTTTTAGAATTAATATATAGCTGCAATCGGATGATAAAGCTAGTGTATAGTATTGATAGTTATAAATTGGAAAATAAATCTGTTGTAATTGCTCTTGTAAAAAACAGCATTTTGTACATGAAATGCGAATTAAGCAGGATTTTTTAACCGACTTGCTTATTTCTGTTAAGTTACTAACGCAACTGTTCTCAACCGTTTTTGCCTCATGCACCCCTATCATCATTATTAGACGAACATCCCACCCTCTTTCCGAAACTCGAAAGCATTTGTTTAATTTTCCTCCAAGCAAAACTCGAGTGCATTCCTTATTTTAATTGCATTTATTTAATTTGACAGCGTGTTCTATAAATTAAGCAAGATAAAGTATAGAATGTTTTGATAATACCAAGACTTGAATAAAAGTAGTTTTTTTTTTATGTTCAGAACCTAAAACTAAATGCTTAACAGGTTGATCGCATCCCCCTGAAACTAATATATACATATAATTATGAGTAAATTAAAGAGCCTATAACCTGCGCTAAACCTGCAAAGTAATATATATATTAATTTTCTAATTTCGGAGTATGTTACAGAAATAGTTTAAAGGGGAATACTGAGAAATTTTAATTTTCTAATATAAGACCCACCATTAGCCGAAGCTAAAGCCGCTGGACAATGGTAATTCGTCTGAGATGATTAATCGGGATGGCTGTATAAGATTTGGGTGGTGTTCCCTATATTTAAAGTAAACACGTCCCAGTTTCTCTTAGAAGCTCCTACACGAAGGCATTGTTCTTAAGGAGATAATTCTCGTATGCTTTATTATTGTCAATTAACCAACCACTAATGTAAGCAAAATTTGTTTATAACAGCTCAGAGCAACTTTATTGTATCGATTATATTCGCTGAAACATTAAAACTAGGATTTTCGGAAGATATCGAAGTTTAAAAGCGTAAAATCTACTTAATTTATAGCATTATTTTCTTAATAATGTATCTGATTGAAAGAGTGTGTTGTATGTTTAAATTTATATATTTATTATATATCTCGCTGATAATTTTTGCCGCCAGTATATAAGAAAAAAAAATATTTTTAACGCCCTATATTAAGTACCTCTGCACCGAATAATCGTTTAATTATTTTATTTATTTCATATAGGAATTCCATCGCTAATTTAGACTAATAGCATTATTTTAAACATCTAGAATCAGTCATAAATCAACCTTAAACCAATTTACTAATCTAAAGTTGAGAGACTTTCTTGGTACGATGCATTCTCGACTCGCATATTTTCGATTTAATAATCTTATCGAGACATAACCTCCTCGTAAGTGAGTGGCATTTTTCATACCCTCGGAAACGAAAGCAAATTACGTTACGTTTCATACCACCCTTTCTCTTTGATAAATTCCTTTGCTGGTGATAAACTATAGGGAATTTTTTGGACGCGCGCGAGGGAAAATTTTCTTCATTATAATTATGAGTCACTTTCACTGGTGGCCTCGGAATAGACAGACGTAACCGTGTACACTGCCAGTTTCCTGTTATTGCTATATGACAAGTAAGATATATCTTTAGCCTGTGTTTCATTTATTATTTGCATTGGTGGAAATTTAAGCATTAAATATGAGTGACATATTTCTATGTATATATGTATATAAACGCATTTTTTGTGACGGTATTTAGTTATTTTACTACATATTTATTTCATTTACTTTGAAAATATTAACAGTTATTTTAATGAAATATATATGTTATTCATTTTTAGTATTACTTGTTAAAGTCTGGATGCATTTATGCATTTAATTGTCTACTTTATGTTGTTACTGTTTATATCCTTTCATATTTAAAAATTTCTTCAAAAATTATTAAAGCTTTTAAAATTCCCGCGTTTTAGTGGAGTAGTTAGATCTCGAATATGAGTACTTGTAACATTTATGGAAAAAATTCATATTAACCAGTCTTTCGTTAACAGGAATCGGTCTTAAATTTAATTTTTTTTCTTAATGGCCCAACTTTTTACAGGTGGCCTAGCTTTTTAAGTTTGAATTCAAGCAAAAGACATCCTGAAAATGGCCGAGGTGAGTTTTTTTTTTAAGGCGTTTTTAAATTTCCATATATCTCCGTAATCTAAAATTATATTTATAATTTGCCAAGAAATTCTTTTTTATATGTTTACTTTTATACATCATCAGTACTAGACTTAGCTAAGCATAATTTTTAGATAGGAAATTTATGCTTAGTATGTGTAAATTTCCAGAACCAGCCTTAAATTCTTAGCCCAGAGCTGCAGCTAGGGTTTTTATCACACGTGGACAACTGAAGATCTCGTGCCCCTCCTGTTTGACAACAGTGTAAAAAAATTTCATTCTAAAAATTCATAGCATCAATTTGGCACCCACTGGAAGCTGCATCCGGGGACAGATGTCCCTACTTTGCCCCCTGCCCCTCTAACTACACCCATATCTTAGCCATAATGACTATCTATGCCTTTAAGATTTTTATTAATATAGTAATTAAAAATAAAAGTGAAGAGGATTTCTAACATCAAATTGGCATTGTCTAAAGCAAAAATCTCTGCTAAATTATGTAACACACAGGGAGGTTTCGTATGCATATTTTCAAAAAATCTAAAACTTGCCTCTCTCCTTTTTAGATGTATATGTGTCTTAAGTTTTGTATTTAAAGTATAGAATTTTTGGGACTTGTAAGTGAGAAAAAATTAGATGTTTCATTGCATCTATTTGAGTTGTTTATTTATTATGTCTGCCAGTGCTTACTGCAGTAATTATAACATATTTCATCATATTTTCCTACTCTGTTTTAATAATCTTAAGAATGCAGAAAAGCTCTTTTCATATAATGAAAATAGCTGAATCATTTAGTTTCTCTATGTGTATTCATAAATCCTTATCTTCTCCTAAAATCTGCTATTCAGTCTTGAAAATTTGGCATAATATTAATGTCTATGATATAACTTTTTAGTGATCTTATAGATTTCAAATTAATGTTATGGTATTCATTACAAAGTATGTAAAGATCTAAACGTCTAGATCCAATTGAGTTGCTGAAGCTAGTTGCTTGCTTTGAATAACTTATACTATATTATGATGAACTTGGAGTAATTTCTTACTTAAACTTGAGTCTGCTTCTGATCTCATGGAATACATTAGTGTTATCGCTGCCAAAATTTTTAGCCCAAAGGGCTTTAGCTCAGAAGGGCTATTAATTTCATTTTGGCATTTTGCATTGGTTCGCTATAAATGTTGGTTCACTGTTGATTTAATTAAAATTTACATTTAACAAAACAATTGTGTACATAGGTAAATATTAAAAATCAAAACATTATTTGCCTAAAGTTCATACTCAGCAATGGAAATTTATCATTCAGAAACAACGATTTCAAAAGCATTTTGAAAATATTTCTGAGTTTAGGATGACTTTGTAGAACAATTACTTTGCATCTGAGACTGTTCCAGTATGGCCCAGAAGGAATTTCGTTTTGGCATTTTGCGTTGGTTCACTATAAATGTCGGTTCACTTTTCAAATTGTTGCCACCAAATATTAGAGACCGGTGTTATATTTAAAGAAATTAAATAATGAAGAATCTGCATAAATGTATGTATGTTTCTCGCATTGTGATAAAACAACGGTACCCAGAGCCATCAAATTTTGAATAATGTAATCTTCCACTGAATATGGTCATCTGGAAGCCCGAATTTGAAATTTGTTTTATTATCAGTTTCGTAATTTGTAATACTTTAACGAATTTTTGCTTAACAAACTCGACGATTTCAAGGCGAGCAATGGCAGTGCTGTAAAGCAAAAAAAAATATTTTTATCTCCGGCGCGCGAGACTGTATATCAGAAATTCTAAAGATATGCTCATGTGATATTGCTATTGAATTGAATTTTATAGTTTAAGTGCGAAGAACATGGTATTTAATACACAATGTTAAAAAAACTTCCCTTTGGGCATAATGTAAAATCTGATAGCTTTCAGATTTCTTTTTTTAATTTTATTTTATTTTATTTATTTATTTTGGTTTGGTTATGTTTGAACTTCAACTGCTTGAAAGAGATTCAAGTAGTTACTATTATTGGTATAATATTAATTTTTTAAATTGAAATTTTAAATCAATTTGCTTCCATTCCATGTTCAATCATAATAGAATTGGAACTACGCTGATATACGCCCTCAAGGCGCCAAATATTTTTGGCGAGAAACTTCACGCTGCCGTATTGCTATCTAAATTTCAAACTTTAAAATGTCTCCAAAAACACGGTTTTCGCGAATGCAAAAACCACATTTTGAACACACAATTTAAGCTAAAATTCCGAAACAAAATCAAAAAATTTAGATAGCAAAACCGTGAAGTTTCTAACCAAAATTATTTGACAAGAGTCCATGTACACAGCGATATGTTTTAACTTAAAAAAACATCTACGAATGGCACCATCTAGGCAACGAACGAATTTACGAACTATGCACACCTCGCTTTAATAAATTAACCATACCAACACATTACACTCTAAATTTCAAAGAATACCATGTACACAGCGTTCTATTTCAACTTTAAAATACATCTACGAATTGCACAATTTAGACGGTGAGCACTAATCAACAAGATAACTAAAATAAATTTTTTGCAAATTTATTCAAAAAAAACAACAATAACGAACAGAAATTCATACTTGAAAAAACAATGAACATAACATTCTACAAAATAAGAACAAAATAAAATGCACTTACCATTAATGCTTTTTCGAACAACAGAAATACCAATTTCATACTGCCATGTAATCACTATCGTATTTATATGACAGCCAGACACACTATGCAGAAAATTCATACTATGGTTCACAAATAAATAAAATAACAAATAATCACAAATCCCCACTTCTATCATGCACAGCCACTAAAAATAATCTCCCATACCTTCTTTCCACACCTCCAAATACCCATTGCCCCTCAACAGGACGATATTTCCTTGTGCCGAACTTCAATTCAACAACTTTCACCATTAAATCTTCCCCCCCCCAGCTTCTCAGACACAAAGCATGATGGGAACCAACGAACTCCAGCGAAAGACTTTTCAACGTCAACAGGGTTGCCATACAACACGCAATCGCACCAAAAACCACCGCAGAACACATATCGCCACATTTGGTGAAATTAGGGCTTATATCAGAGTTGTACCATAGAATTTTGCATGGGGAGGAACATAAGAAAATGATATTCAATTAGAAAAAAATTTTAGGAAACTTGTTTAACAGTTAGTCCATTTTATTGTCATATATCATATATTTACATCAAATGTTCTGAAAATAGGTTTATGTTGTAAAAAAAAAAAAAAAAAAAAATGTTTCATTCTGAAAATATTTCTTGTAAAAAATATTAAAAAAATGAGTGTTGCATGAAATTTCAAAGGGCTTCTACATTTCTTCCAGTTTAATGTTATATTTAAATCATAAATCATCTATGAAAACAGTTCTAAATCATACCTAAACCAAACAAGTTGAAAATTCATATTTCTTAAATAAAGTAGTACATATTCCAATGATATGTGTTTGTATTTATATAGTTCAACAATATGTAAACTGTTTCTGTTTACAACATTTTAATCCTTTGATAGATATGTGTAACATAAAAACATAAATCTATAAAATAAATTTTAGTTACTTTGTCAGTAGCATAACCTCAGAAAGGCACCAAAATGTTATGTTAAGTGATATGTTTGATAACCATCGTTTATGTATATGTGAAACTAAATTTTATTTGCAGTCTACATTCAAAGGAAAGAAAGTAGAATATAAAGAGCAATTTTTTTTTTTTTTTTATCTTTATATTCTGCTTGCTTTAACTGTGCAGAATCTACTTTCAATATATGCTGCACTTATTAAATTTGATTTTATCAAACTATGTATTCAAATTTATATATGCTGTACTTCACATGTCTGTTTCATTGTTTAAAAGATATTAGTTAAATTGTTAATATGACCCAGTTATCCTTAGAAAGTCCTCCACAAAGGCATCCCTCCTTTTAGGTGAAAGCCCTTATGTGGTTTGCTGTATTCCAATAACCTAGTTAAATAAATCATTGTTTTCTTATGCTTTTTCAGTTGCTAATACATGTTTTCAAATATTTTAACTGTTCTTGATGCCAATCAAAAATCAAAATCATATAAAAGTTGCCCATATTCCCCCAGTGCCAATAATTGTAAAGGTGGAAAAGGCACTCCATTTGGATTGATGATAGCTTAAAAAAGAATTCCATTGTATAGAAATATCATTAAACAAAAAGCACTCAATATTTACAAATGATGTAAAGAACGTGGAGAATCCTCTGTCAACCCAGATTTTGTAACAAGTAAAAGTTATTTTGAAAATTTCAAAAAAGTGTTCAGCAGTTCATAGCATAAAAATTCAAAGAGAAGCTGCTATGACATATCCAGAAAAAATTCAAAATATTATAGAAGAGGAAGGCTACACAGCAGATCAAGTTTTCAATGCTGACGAAACTGGGTACAAAAAATGCCCACTAGAACTTTTATATTGAAAAAAGAAAAACTGCACACAGATTTAAGATGCCTAAAGATCATCTAACGCTACTTTTTTGGATTAATATATTAGGGGATTTGTGACAAAACCCTTGTTAGTTTATAGATCTTTAAATAATCATACACTTAAAGGCATAAATAAATATACCTTACCAATATACTGTAAAGCAAATCCAAGAGCTTGTGTAACTGAAAATTTATTTAAAGACTGGTTTTTAAATTGTTTTGTGTCAAACTCTGAATATTATTTAAGGCAGAAAATTTTGAGCTTCAAGGCACTATTATTATGAGATGATGCTTTATGTTACCCACAAGATTTAAATCATCACAAAGTCAAAATACTGTTCCTACCACCTAACACTAATTCATTGCTCCAACAATTGGATCAATGTATTGTATTATTTATACCTTTAAAATGTATTACATAAGAAAAGCATTACAATGGATTTTAGATGTAACCAGTTCAAAATCAATTAATGTAATGGGAGCTTGGATGAAATTTTCAATCAAGCACTGTATCGATATCATGTATTTGTTACTGAAAGAACTGAAAACATCAATGTTAAATGAGTGTTGGAAGAAGATATGGTCCTCTCCAGTTGAAAAAGAAAACTTGCATAAATCATCAGCGAGGGAAATTGGAGACATATTAGAATTTTCTAAAGGAATCAGAGATGAAGGTTTTGTGCACATGGCTATTGAGGACATTCAAGAATGGAAGAAACAGATTGAAATGGAAGAAACGGAGTTGAGAAAACAAATTTGAAAGAAATGGCATCTGAAGCTGTAAATCAAATTGATTCTGAGGATACTAGCGCTGATGAAGATTCAGTTAATAATTTAGCATAAAAAATTTTAAAGAAACATCTTAGCTGAAAATTTCGAGTAATTTTTCTTGAATGCAGACCCTTCTGCTAAAGAAAGCCGAAAATTTAAAAGGGAGCTGCAAAACTGTCTAGCTCTATACCAAGAAATTTACAATGACATGATAAGAACTAGCAAGCAAAGTAAAATTACAGATTTTTTAAAGATGCAAGAACATAAAATGAAGGAAAAACGTTCTGAAAGTAAAGGCGATATCATTCCACAAAAAACATGTTCTTGGTTGATCATATTGAGCAGTGACGATGATGAAATTTATTAAATGAAAGTTGTCTTAAATTAAAGATTTTGTTGTTGTTGTTCTACAGACATTTATATTTGTAATAGAAATTAAATTGTTTATGTAGAATTTTTTTTAAATATTTGTTTTTAATATTTTTTTGAAACATAACCCCCCTTTTTGTACTGGCTCTGGGTCTCAACAACATGGTTTCACACAACATGGCATTTTTAGGAACCTAACTGTTATGTTATAGGATGGTTATCCGTACTTAAGATGCCATGGTTGAACATCAGTGATTATAATAGAGATAGAGAAAAACACTTCTGCCCCCATCCTTTTTTATACGCATTTCCATAAATATGTATGTATTTTTTCTCTCACAGTATATTGTTGGCGAAGGCACCGTGAAACCTTACCCAGACTTTGATGCTAAACAAGATGCTGAAGCTCTCAGAGCTGCTATGAAAGGATTTGGTAAATAATAATTTTATTTCAAATCATATTTTCTTGCATTAATTATTATTAAATGTGCATGACCCTGATCTTTTTTTAGTATTTTTAGTGGCAAAGCTGCTTGCATCCTGTATAAGATCTCTCTCTTTTAAATTTATTGCATGTAAAATATTTTGTTATTCCCCTCCCCCTTCATTAACTTAAAAGTTATTTTATAAGTAGAGAATAAAACAAACTTTTTTTCTTTAAAAAATATTGTGTAAGAAAAGCATTTCATAAGCAACTATAAAAAATGTTGTTACTTAGAGGGCTATCTTCGTGCTAGTTATCTATTTTTGTTTTCTTCATAGCTATACGTATACTTCTGTTTGATTCTAGTAACTGTAGCGCAAACATAAATATATTATTTTTGTACTGTAAAGATATTATCTCTTTTACATATTCTTACAATGACTATTCCTTCTATTTGTAATGTGAAAAGAAAACATTTTGCTTTACTCTTAAACTGTTGTATAATCCTTCATCTGTATCTGTGTTTTCAGTTATCTGTACTGTACTTTTTCCAAATCAAATTTTGAAAATTCAAGAAGTAAACTATCTTAAATTATAATATGTACAACCCCCAGGGGTTTGCGAAAATAATATTGTAATGCAGATTTTTTTTAAAACGGCATTAAAATCAAAAGGGGGGGAACCACACGAAAAAAAATCACAAGAATTAAAGAACACACCCACTGTAAAACAGATTGGTCGCTGCATGTTTGTTAAGAAATCTATAATAAATTTTAATATTTTCTTTTTTTTTTTTTTTTTTCCTGTTTGTTTTTCAAAATTACTTCATCAATATTAAATTATATCAAATTATAGCAACAATTTTATACATTATAATTTATTCCTCTTATTCAAGTAATCAAAAACTATTCTCTTTCTATTACAGAACATTTATTTATATTTAAAACATTTTAACAATGTGATTAGTAATCATGTTCTGCTTTATATTTAAAATCATTGCAGCAAGTTTTCCCTTCTATGTACTATTTTTTTTTTTTACATATTGGAAATAAATATCAAATTAAGGCAGTTTACTACAGATTTTAGAATTAGATACTTGTTCACAACCGGGAACTGGGAGAGTAGTGTTGTATTAACTGTCTGTTTTGTCTGTCTGTCTTGTCTGTCTTTCAACGTTCACACATAGGCTTAGCACTTGTAAAGCTTGAGTGATAGTGATACTGTGACTGTCAAGTTCTTGTATAAAAATGATTTAATAATTATTAATTGAATTTATTATTATAGCCTTTTTTTTATTATGGATCGATGGTTCAAAACGTCGTTTAGAAACGAGACATGATAATCGAGATGATAGTACTGAAAGCTGTAGTGAAGGTACCGTTTCACCAGACGAAAAATAAAGGAAATGATGATAAAAAAGAAAAGGGAAAAAGCGAAAATATGACAGCGACTATCTACAATTGGGTTTTCATTTTTCTGGGGATAAGTCGTAACCTAAACGCTTTGTGTTATATGTAACAAAGTTCTTGCCAACAGCAGTTTAAAACCATCACTTCTTTGTAGACATATTGAAACAAAACATCCGACGCAGAAAGATAAACCTCTTGAATATTTCAAAAGAAAATTAGCAGGTATCAAGAAGTGTAGCCTTTCTTCTTTCTTAACTTCAAACGAAGATAGTAAAATGGCCCTTGAAGCATCATTTTGAGTAAGTTATAGAATTACAAGATCTGGACAAGTGCATACAATAGCAGAAAATTTAATTGGACCATGTGCGAAAGATATTGCCAAATGTATGCTGGGGGAAAAGGCAGCAAAGAAAACTGAGCTAGTTGCCTTATCAAACAACACGGTGTCACGTAGAATTAATGACTTGGCTAATTAAGTGGAGAACGAACTTCTAAAAAGAATAAAATTGAATTATTTTGCAATTCAACTTGACGAATCAACGGATGTAACGAATGCCGCAGTCTTGCTTTTCTATGTTAGATATCTTTTTACTAATATTGTTCAAGAAGACGTACTATTTGCAAAACCTTTGAAAACATACACAACTGGAGAAGCGATTTTCGATATGATCAATTGGGTATTTTGAAAAGAATGGAATAAACTGGTCTTATTGTGTGGGTGTGTGTACAGATGGTGAAAAATCAATGACAGAAAAATTTTCTGGTTTTGGGTCACGGGTGAAGAAGATCAACGAGAAAATTCAATGGACTTGTTGTATTCATAGACAAGCTTTAGTATGTAAGCTTATTCCTGCAGAGTTATCTACTACTTTAAGTGATGCTGTGAAAATTGTGAACTTAATAAAATCGCGTGCTGCAAATTGCCGTCTATTCCGTACGCTTTGTGAGGATTTTGGAAGTTTCCACAATTCTTTACTATTTCACACAGGAGTTAGATGGCTTTCCTGTGGTAAAGTTTTGATGCACGTTTGTTTGAATTGAAGTCTTGAAGTTCAAGCATTTTTTATTGATCAACCGTTTCATTTGTCTTCTTTGTATATCCGATGTTCTTTGGCTGTAAAAGCTTGCGTATTTAGCTGACATTTTTTGTAAATTGAATGAATTAAATATGTCTTTACAAGGCGAGGGTGTCACCATTTTCAGTGTACATGATAGAATTGACGCTGTGTTGAAAACGATAATTTTTAGATTCAATGCCTGCAGATGAATGAGTATAGATGTTTTGACTCTGTCAGCACTTTTTTATCAGAAAATTCAATTAAACTTGACGAAAACATTAAAAGGAGTCTATGTGAACATCTGAACTATCTTCGATTAACTTTCGATGACTATTTTCCCAACAGATGCAATATATCCATCTCAAACAACTGGATAGGTAATCCATTTCAAGGAAATGTAAGTTCAGAAACATCTCTAAATATACTGGAAAAAGAAAAACTCATAGAGTTATCTTGTGGCAGTTCTATAGAAGCAATTTTTAAAGATCAATTTTTAATTGACTTCTGGCACAATATACAAAATGAATGTCTTGTTCTGTCAGAAAAAACCATTGAAGTTCTATTACCATTTTGCACAACATATCTATGCGAGAAAGGATTTTCAACATATACTTATCTGAAAGATGAATACAGAAACAGGTTAAATGCAGAACCTGATCTAAGACTAAAATTGTCAGATATTGAGCCTAACTTTGAATTGCTTTGTTCTATCAAACAGCCACAAATATCCCATTAAGAGTTTTTCCAAATGTAAAACATAAGAACTAGTTTGTTAAATTTATCTTGTTTTCAACTTTTATAGCCATCATTTTAGTCTAATGTTTTATTTAAATGTTTCATGATTAATATAATCAATTATTCTGCAATATAAAAATATATATATTCTATCAATTTTATTATTATTATTTTATTATTACTTGTCATTAACGACTACATAGGGGGTTCGTCAAATTTTTTTGGACCTTTCTTTTGGTTCGCGAGGAGAAAAAGGTTGGAAAACACTGATGTAGATGAGGCTAGACAATGCTACTGCAACATTTTTTCATTATTATATTGATAAGTATTAGGTTAAAATGTCAAAATCCCTTACTTCTGTAAGTGTGAGAGAAAGAAAATGCTTTCCTGTATAATGTAGTACATTTTATTGTATTTAATGTGTGTAATATCTTATTATACATAACATATCAATTAAACTTTACTATATTTATATATGTTGCTGAAATAACATATTGTAGCATTTGATGTTAACTGTGGTTTTACGCAGCTTTAGTAGGTCTTTTAGTACTTACATATTCTGATGCATTACTGCATTCCAAAAATATTAATGCAAGAGTAAAAGAAAAAATTCAAAATTATTTATACCTACTTTATATATAACATGTTATGGAATATAACATATATGGAAAAACTCTGAAATTAGATTAATGGGAAGATTTTTGAATTTCTATTAAAATTTATTACTTCTTTAAGATTTTCACCTAGTTGTTTTCCATATTCATTGCCTTTAACAATGGATCACTTTAGAACGTTCTGATATTCTGAGCTTTTTGTGCCTTTATAGACACCTCCTCATTTGGACAAGTTTTCATATGGGACCAAGGCCTGGGAAACTCAAATCATAAATGTTTCTTATTTTGGCTGGAATGTCCACTGAAAAGATATGCAATCCTTTAAATTACTTGGAACATACTAGTTACATACTGGTTTATAGTACCTTGATCAACATAGTGGTTAGCAATATTGGCTGCCATATTGTTGGGCGAAGTTGCGATTCTGAAGAAAGCCTGCATATTTGCAAGTGTATAGTGTTTGTGCAGCATGGGGATATTTAAAATATTGGTGAGTCGAAAGTCTTGAGGTGTTTGGTGATAGGGCAAAAGGAGTGGGAGACCCTTGGATGTTCTTCATCAAAATGGAGGAGGTTGTACAGTAAGTGCAATGGAATAATACTCCTAAGACTACTGTTAAGTTTTGTTGTCCCAACTTCTTCTGCTGCTGGTTTATTTACTTGAAACTTATGAAACATATTTCATTGACTCCTTTTTTGCTTTCTTTCTCCTGATATATGTAAAACTGATAACATTTAGTTTTTAAATGCGATGAAGTTACTGGAAGTCTTGGCCCCATGAACAGGCACAAGCCAAAAGCATGAGTATGCCTAGGTATAGTAGGAGCAGAGATTGCAAAAATCAACTAATTCAAGCTTCCTATAATGCTTCCATAGCATTATAGGTGTGTCTGTGACTCAGAATCCATATTATTAATTCACGAACCTTGTGGATGTAATTTATTCAAAAAAATATAAGTTTTAAAAAATGATAACTTTACCTTTTCTGTTCTCATCAGCTTAATAGAGACAGATGATTCTTAATTATCATATTTAAATTGCATTTTACAATTCACAATGCATAGTAGGCACAGGCTCTTATATGTATGAGTTTCTTTATCATAAAATAGTATTTTTAAAGAACACTATTTCTGTTTTATTATTATTATTTTCTTTCCTTCAAGCATTATTATTTGTTATGGAAGTATACTTCCCAGGAACTTATTATTATTATTATTATTATTTTAGGAACTGATGAAAAAGAAATTATAAATATATTGGCAAACCGCAGCAATGCTCAGAGAGTTTATATTTCTGTGGCTTTCAAACAGCTGTATGGTAAAGTATGTATTAATCAGATTTCTAACTTTTTATAGATTGTGGGTGGTGTTTTAGACATGGCCTGTTTTGGGGAAGTACAGTAAGGGAAGGTCTTTTGAAATATTCTGACAAATTAATTCCCCTGTTATAGTCTTAAAATTAACCATTCAAAAATTCTTGGATTTGACCATTTGTAATGACAAGAACTGAATACAATGTTTTTCAAGCTTTTGCATTCTTACTACCTATTATACTCTATTTGTTAGTATATTTTAATTGCATGTTGTACTAAATCTAGCTGTACGAATGCTTTTGAAAACTAAATAATTAAATGACACAATCAATAAAATAAATCTGTTAATTAAAGAAAAACTTTCTTTTGACTTTCCTTAGACATAACTGTTTTCTTTCTACAAAATGCTTATTTGTTAATGTTACCATAATTTATGAGTTTAGTATATCCTTCAGAATTAATGTTAAAAAAAAATAAAAATTGATTATCTAGTAATTTAGCTGCAGTTTTTATATGACTGTATTTCTAATTCATATTGAATCAATAATATTTGTACATTTCTTTAGGATTTGATTGATGAATTAAAAAGTGAACTAACTGGACATTTTGAAGACTGTATACTTGCCTTGATGACTCCAACAAGTGATTATTTGGCTTCTGAACTGCATGAAGCTCTGTGTGGAGCTGGTACAGATGAAGATGTACTTGTTGAGATTTTGTGTACTCGAACGAATCAAGAAATATGGTTAATTAATGAAGCTTATACTAGATGTAAGTTTTTATACCAATTAATTTGAAGTGACATTGTTGTATTAACAAGCTTTAATTTTTTCAATGGAATAACTTTTCAAGTTAAAATAGTTGAAATCTATTTTGTTTTATTTATAGTACTTTCAAAAGATTGCAAGATCAAATATATATCATAAATAGTGTTTGAGAAATTATGTTCCCATTTAAACAATAAAACAGATAATGTACTTTCAAATCATGTCAGTTTTGATCATGTAACATCTTTTAGTGAATAATGGTACTTTTCCTTTAAAACCGAACCAGTTAGTGCTATTTTCTGGGGGAGGGGGAGTATTTTCTTTGTGTAAAGGGTTGCAAATTTGGTTTGTTTCTTTTATGGATGGATTCTTTTTTACTGCAATGAATTCCATGATTTGAGATTTGCCAAGATATGAAGAACTGGCTATTCTATTCCTTCAAAAGCTAAATATTCTTCTTAAAGGAAGACTGTATTCAAATAATCAACTACCTCATAAAATTTAAATATTATCTGAAGACAAAATGAATTGCAGTCTTTACTCATGCCATGTGCACTAGTAGCCAAGCTGGATGAATGTGAGTTTTCATAATTCCCACCATGTATAATCTAAATATAAATTAGTTGCCCTTAAAATGTCTTTGGCATCCTTTTCCTTAGACAGGTAGCTTTCATGTGTTTTCCAATGATGTAAATAAAATAATGATTTTTACTGTAATGTAGGCACTCTACTGGCCAGGAAGATGAAGGAGTCTGAACACGAAAGTGGTTTATTGGATCATATATTTCTTTCATTACTGCCATACAACTTATTAACTTATGGTGTCAGGAGTTAATGTTATTGAGTTTTGCGAACCAAAGCTTGCTTAATGTATAATCAAATGAATCTCAGTACCATGCTCATTGGAATAATTGTGTAAGATAGAGAGAGATATGTACCAATTCCTTGCTATTTTGCCCTAATATTAAAATCATAAACACACACAAGAAAACTGTGAAAATTTATAAAAACTTGTTCATAAGAGAAAAAAAATAGTGTAGACCATTTTTTCCCTCTTACACTGTGTGGTTGGAAGATTTTGTCATGAAATTGAAAAATGTTCTTTATTTCTGTTCCCATTCATTCCGTTTCATCTAGAATGGAGAAAGAAATAAGTCAAATTGTATTAATAGACTGAAAATGTGTAGAATACTTTACTTTTTAGGGCTATGTTAGTCCAAAACAAAAACTAATACTTATGTAATCAAACTTTCCCAAGATATCACATTAAAATTTTGAAGAATTGTAGTCAAATATATGTGAAAATAGCTACATATATTAAGCCTTTGACTACAACTTCTAAAATCTACCTTTGCATTGGAAGAACAAAGTATAAAAGCAATAATTTCAAATTTTGATTTAGAGAAAGTTAGAGTTAAAAATAATATTTAATTTTAATGCAGCCCTTAAAATTGAAATTTTTCATTCCTCTTTTCATGCAAGAGATTTAGTTTAGCAGTTTTTACCACTTGTGGCCAGTTGTGCATTTTACAGAAGTGTCCTCCACTGTTAGCCTTTTGAAGATTACCAAAATTGGCTGTTATCACTTTCCTGTTAAGTAAACATTTAATTGCTTGGATATGTAAATGACCTCTCCCTATTGAGAGAAAAGTCATTTACATATCCTAGCACCACAGTTACTATGTATTCAGCATACAAAGGAACCACAGATAGTATGTATTGACATAGGATTCATGTATGTTCCTTTGGAGAGAAATCACTAAAACAAGCTGAACTTGTGTGTGCCCATTTTTGTATACAATTTCTGTGCAAGCTGAGCTTTTGCATGGCTACCAAAAGGTTATGAACCATTGGTACAATAAGTAATAAGTAGTAATAATTTTTCTGAAAGGTATCATGTGACCAAAATTACATAGTTTTTTTTTCCCTTTTATGTGATTAATTTCTTAAACTAAAGTCATGTCTCTACAATGAGTCATCATGACTTTGAGCATGACTTAAACTGCAGTTTGAGCATGACTTAAACTGCAGTTTCAAGTGAGCTGGAGAAAATAAGAACTGTGCAGCGATGACAGCACACATTATGATGGCAGAGGGAAGCTCTAGCAACAGCTTTGAAGTGCCTATTTTTAAAGAATCGAACTTAGTTACAGCGTGCATCTTTTATTAAAAGTAAAATAGGAGAGATCATTATACATAAGCACTTTAAGAAATCAAAAGGAATATGAATTGTCTGGGTATGTAGTCACCCAGACAGAAAATAAATTATAAATTTCTGGGTAATCACCTGTTAACTTAAAGATTGTAAATTTAATGTCTGATGACATTGTGCTCATAAATGGCTTTCTAGGTTATTAGATCTTACTTTTAACATTTTTGTTTGGGTTACATTAATGTACTGCATTTCATCTGCAAGTACAAATGAACTCAAAGCTTCACTCTTACTGTTATGAAGACATTGGTAAAGGTTACAGGTAATTGTGGCAAAAATATTATTATCTTCTGAAATATTTTTTTTAATTGGAGGAAATAGCATTTAAAATTTAGCATTTGTAATTGAAGGAAACATTTAAAAACAAAATTTGGGGTGTTTTCCTTTCATTTTGCATATTATTGATCACATAAATTTCAAAAGTAAAGTCATTTGAAACTGGATCAATCATTCTGGATAAAATTTAATTTTCTTGAACTTTTTTGACTGTTTTATGTTGCTATGTGTGTAGACTTATAAATTATTATAGTTAAAAGCAATAAATATAAAGCTTTTTTTGAGCTGTCACATGTTTTTATATATATATATAAAATTACTTTTACAGTTTCACGTGCTTTAATGTAATTACTAATGGACCATAGATTAAAAACATTGATACATAACATTATTAGATTTGATTATTGATACATAACATTATTAGATTATTGATACATAACATTAAAAACATTATTAGTTAAACATACAAGAATTGAGTAAACTATCTGAATTTTATTTTTTAAGCATTGGCCATCAGCTTCTAGAATTACTTTTGTCAGTTTAAATAGCATTAAATAAAACTAGTTTAATTGCTTTATGATATTCTTTTAGCTCATATTTAATTTAAATTATATATTTTCTACTTATTCTCAGATAATATATATATATATATATATATATTGTTTCATAAGAATAAATTGAATTTAATTAAAAAATTAAATTTAAATACAAATTTAATTAAATATTCTTTGCACCATTGCTGCAAGGAACAAATACGTATAAAAGTAAAAAAGCAAATTTAAAATCCTGAAAAAAAAAAAAAGCCAAAAAAAATTTTTTTTAAAAAAAATTGTGCACAAACATATAAAAGATTTAATACTCGAATTAATATATATATCTTATTTTTATTTATATACTTTCAAATTGAATGTGTTTTCTTATTTTATACTTTTTTTATGTGATACATTACTTGACTTTTTTAAATGCCAATTTCAACATAGAGCCATATTATTTATTTTTGGTATTGTTTATTTATGCTTTATAACATAATTTTTCTCATTTTTATTTCTATCATTTGCAGTATATGAGAAATCATTAGAAAGCGATATACAGGGTGATACTTCTGGACATTTTGAACGACTTCTTGTATCAGTCTGTACTGTAAGTATTGTGGTTATTGATTAATAATATTTGGAAACTTGTAACATGTTATAAATTTAAAGATATTTTAAGTTATAAAAACTTGTACTTGGCGTTATTAATTTTACATGAAATTGCATTTATTTACATTCAGGGTGCAAGGCGTCTTTTCGTTGGGTTTGAGGTAGGATTATGCTGTATGCATGGATTATATTTGGTTACCAGTAGCTAACTGATTAAAAAATTGAGCTTAATAATCTGTTTGAAGTTAGGATCTAACCTAGCTACTTGTGCTAGAAAAAAAAGGAATTAATTCCTTTTTATATTTTTTAAAGTGTCGATTCTAACAAAAACACATTTGTTAACATTTAATTGGATATGCTTGGTAATTTAGTATCATTATTTTGCAGTTCTATGTTGATTATTTTGTAATGAGGATATTTGTATTATAATTTGTTATAACTGACAAATGCATGGTTGGTGGTGGGGATTAATCAACTAGAAATGTTAGTTTTTTTAACTTATTTTGTATATTTGTATATTAAGATGGGCTGTAGCAAGTGCTTATAACAAATAAGTGAGGCACTATACAAATTGAATTTTAATAAACTTTCTGGAGTGTAATATTTTAACTTAAAACCCAGTATAGTTTGCAAACAAAAATTATGTTAAAAAAATATATCAGTTTTTATCTAAAAATATGCAATGAAATAGCTGCTATTAGAGCTTTCATGTTTAGAAATTACTTCTTGAATACATTCCAAATATTAGAAAATTATGTATTAAAAACTGTATTTTATACTTTTATCCATTAATATCATACTATATCACTTTAATTAAAATGCAATACCGCTTATTGTTCCTTTAACCTGATCATTAAGTTTAACTGCACAGAAATATTATTCTAAAATTTGTATTTTTTAACTCCTTTCTATATTATGTATTACATTTGGCATAAGATATATTTTCAGAGTTAATTAACTTTTATGCTAAGAGAAATAAAAATATTGTTTACCTTTTCAAATTAGTGAATATTAATCAATATTTATAATTTAGAAAAAACTATATAATTGGATCCTTTGTTTTCAGTAAATAAATTATTAGCAAATAAGTGATCAGTTTTTTACAGTACTGTATTTTTATCATCTTAAATTTTTGTTTTTGTTGCTGGAGTAAATGATATAATGGATGTCAAAAAATAAATAATAATATATAATGTATTTTTGTAATATTTTATTAAAGGGTGCCAGAAGTGAAGCACCTGCTGATCCAATGTTGGCAAAGCAAAATGCAGAGGTAATTTTATTTTAATGAATTTTACATGTATTAAATAAGCGGTATAATTTTATATTAGCTAAACTTATAATGTAGTTCTTGTAAAGTTTTTCACAGTATGGTAAATTACCTTTGTGTCAGAAAGATGTTTTTGGTAATTGTAAAGAAATACTGTATTTTAAATTTCAAAGTACAACTATAGTTTTAAAATAATTAGATGAGCAAAATTATTTTGCTTTTCCATTCTGTTGGTAGAATAAAATAGAATTTCAAACATTACCAAATTTATGTGTAATTAATACAAACATGTGTTTGGGATTTTTTAAAACCAGTGTACTCCTCATATTTAAGAAAATCATCAAATTCTAAATTTTATTCTTTTTTAGTTTCCTTCAGTTTAATTAATAATGTTATAAGGAATTAAATAATGAAGAATCTGCATAAATGTATATATGTTTCTCGTGATAAAACAACGATATCTAGAAGCCATCAAAATTTGAATAACGTAATCTTCCATAGAATCTTCCATAGAAATTAGGGCATGTAGAAGCCCTAATTTGAATTTGAAATTTATTTTATTATCGATTTCAGATTTTGTAACACTTCAACGAATTTTTGATTAAAAACTAAACAATTTCAAAGTGAGCAATGGCAACGAAAAAAAAAAAACATTTTTATCTCCAGTGCGGGAGACTCTGTATAGAAAATTCTAAAGATATGCTTATTTTAAAATTAATTTGTGATATTGCTGTTGAACTGAATTTTATAGTTTGAGCACGTAGAACATGATATTTAATAAATAAAGGTAATGCACAAAACATTAAAAAAACTCTCCTTTGGACTTAATTTAAAATCTGAAACCTTCCAGACTGGTTTTTTTTAGTTAGTTATAATTATTAATAAAACTTTTGCTTTTTTAATTAACAAAGCTACAAATTAATAATTAAGTGGAAGAATATTGAGAACACCACATTTGAAACATCTTTGTTCTCTTGTACAAGATCTTTTTGTGTGACCAAATTCTAAACAATTTTTGCATTGAATTACTCGGATATACTCACGAATGTTTTTCCTTGTCCAACCAATATTAACCTTTTGAGACTGCATTATCGACTTAAAAGCTGTGGGGTCAAGTGAGAGAACCCAATTATATCCATGCTGACTTTTCATTTTGAATTTAATTTCCATGGTCGCATCACGTAGCTCATGATTCTGTGTTTTTAGAAGTTTAGCAATTTTCTCTCTTCCTTAAAACCTTCCTCTACATTGTAGATTATGATTTTAGGATTAATTTTTGTCGGTTGTTTTGGTTCAACCAAGTCCTTTAATTTTTTTGCATTTTCCTTAATTGCATCCTCCAGAATTTTAAGTTCTTCCTCTTTATTGGTTTGAATTAGAATGCCTCCTTTGCGAATTTTCCTGACACGTTTTAACTCCTATTTTGAGTTTTGCAGGACTTATATATTTTTCAACATTTTCTTTTTTGTATTCTCTGATGTTGATCCATCCTCTTTTGGGTAAACCAGCAGGATATGTTCGCTCTGGCCTTTATGTCTAGATTTTGATCGACTTCTTTCGTGCACTGTCTTTGCAGCCTTCTCTGCATAAGTCTCTCGAATAATTCCATTGCTTTTTACCTCCGCTAAACCTTGCAAATAGTTTTCTATGTTTTGTGATTGTTCCAATTGTCCTTGGAGTTGCGCTATCACTGCATTTTGTTTTGTTACAATTTTGAAAATATCCAAGAAATAAGATCTTAGTGTCTTAGAGAGTTTCTTTGAAATATTCTCTCGAGAAAGGATACCCTCTAAATTTTCTAAGCATTCAAATGCAGAATCAGTAAATTCACTGGAACAAGAGTCTTTGGAAGTAAAATTAGGCAGGATTACAATCTTGTCCATTTGAAACTTTAACGCTAACGTCCTTAGCAGTACTATCTGTTATAACTGGATCTGATATATATCTCCATGTGTATTACTAAAATGTGATTTTGAATGTGCTGAAATAGATCTTTCTGCATGTGGAGTTAGAAATGAAGACCTACTACCGCTATCCACACCTGGTGGCTTATGGTGTTCTGTGTTTTCCGTAGCTGCCATAGTTAAATAATAACTCTTATTAATCCTACTTTAAACCATTACGAAATATATAGTCAAACTAATACTTAAAAAAGGATGAAATGATGATAAATGTTACCACTAAAGGTAATAACGATACTAGAAAAGAAGTTTTACAGGGAAATTGAAAGCTAGGTAAGTATAAACTATATGAATCTTAATGATAATATTTTTTTTTTTTTTTTTTTAGTAAGTGGAGTTGTTGAGATCCTTTTTCAAAAGAATTATTATTATTATTAAATAAATTATTAATGGGAAGAAACTAAGTATAAAGTATTTATTTCCTATAAAATTAATTTTTTTTTTTTTTTTTTTTTTTTTTTTTTTTTTGCATGCGCTAGTATTCTTATCGAGAGTAACTATTCAGCAATATCTGGCAATCAAATTTAAAAATAAATAGAATTTAAAATTTTATTTTAGGAAATATCTATCACAAATTAAAGTATTTCCCAATAAAATTTATATCATATGAAAGAGAAAAGATTTAGCTATTTGAAGATAGAAAAATTACTACTTGACATTACAATTTTTCATCAATAAATTTTAAATTTAAAAGTTCAAATAGGTGTTTTTATATGTAATAAAGTATCAAAATCTGAGAGTATGGTTTTCGACACAAATTTAAAAATAATAACATCAAGCAAAAACTGGAATATATTGAATATCCTTTACAGCAGCAAAATTTTTTTTATATAGAAACTACATGACAATAAAAAAATATATAAACTATACAACCTTGCAAAATTAATAAATAAAATTATATATTTGGTGCATTAAATTCAAATTTAAAGAATTTATATTATCGTTTACGAGTTGTTAAATGGCGAGACATTGCGAAAAATATTCATAATATGCAGACTTCAAACGTTAATAGTTTTTAAACACGTTGACTTACAGACATCAAAATTGTATGAAATGCATCACCTCGTTAAGGACTTTAGATTGATATTAAAGTTATCAATGTAGGGCCAGTTTGTACGCAATTAGTCAGTCACTTGTAGGAACACAAAAAATACGTCATAGCACCATCATAAACTGGTCGAAGAATATCTTATAATGGACAGTATAAGTTAGGCTAAAATTATCTAATTATCTATTTCAGTTAATGTTGCAGATTGCGTTGTTCCTTAATCTTCTAATTGGATCCGGCATTATTATTTTTTGCAGACTGTTAGAGCAATTTTATAAAAAGTAAGTTTGAACTTTCAATTATGTCAAAAAGAGTTTCCGATTCTGGAGCTGCCAAAGGATCTACAAAGCGAAAGCATGTTTCGATGTACTGCTTCCAATAGTGAAGAAAGTGACAGAGAGGTTATTGAAAACGAAAAAATTTCGATTGACAAGTTAGTTATAAACTATTTAAATATTCTCGACACAGCAATTACAGGACTTGAACAGTGGAACTGAACAAGAAATTATGTCTGTTTATAGAATTAAAGAGAAAGTATTAGCACAAAAAACAAAGCAATTTAAACAACTTACATTGAAAGAAATGTTTAATAAAGTAAACAAATAAATATTAAGCCCCTTTTTTTTTTTTTTTTTTTTTTTTTTTTTTTTTTTTTTTGTAAATTTTGATACCCTTTCGATCATAATTGCTCGTTATTTCATAAATTACGGTTTCATATTTTTAATTTTATAATTTCTGCATGCCATCTTACCAGATTTAAATTGATGATCTATAATCGGGAAAAACTGATAATCCAGAATCGCCGAAATCCTGACGAGTCCAGATTGAAGACTTTAGCATTCCATTTTTTTCCGCCAAAAATATCACTCCCTGTACATATTAGTACTTACGTATTAACATAATCGCCTTAGTAGAAGTTGTCAAATTTTCAGAATGTGCTATACTTTGGTAGCCATGTGTGTAATTTTTTTCAATTTTAACCGACAACATTGTAATTTTCATATTTCTTCTAGTTCCAGTGGGGTTTTTTTTTTTTTTTTTTTTTTTTTTTTTTTTTTTCAAACAATGTATGATAATTTTTGTCACAAACTCATTTTTAAAATATGTGCTTGTTAGATTAGCGTATAATGGAGGAAAATAAGGTGAAATTTCTGCAGAAATGCAGTATTTTCACAAAATTAATGAAGAACAATTGCTTCGCATTAAAATAATCACCATGAAATTTTCACCTGAATAAAGCAAATAAAAACCCATTTTAAATAGTTTTATAACTAGATTTTTTAGATAAATTCCAAACTAAAATGTAAAATATGTCTGTAATAATATATTTATATGCAATAAATATTTTTTGTAATTATAAATTATCATTCTTTTGCATTAGTGTGTATGTACCATCACATTTATTGAGCAAGTTTTAGTTTTGTATGTCATTTTTTGAGGGAGCAAGAAATAGCTTACAAATTTTGAATGCAATTTGTAATTTTATGAATAAATCTTAATCCTAATTTTGGTGAACCATTAACTTTTCATTAAGCTCATTCATCCTGTTGCTTCATTATTCAAATATTACTGTTACTATGGAAATGCTATTAGTATTGTTTTGCATATTTTTATTATTTTATGACTGAATGTAAAGCAATTTGTATTAAAAATTTGTATTTTTTAATTATAATAAATGCATTGATTAAATAGCAATTAAATGTAATTTTATAATATACATTATAAATACATATAAATACAGTAATAAAGACTAAAGAGTAATATGAAATATTTCAGTTAAGAAATGGTAATCCAAACAAGAGAAATATTGATGTAAAGAGATAAAATATATACAAAGTCTAATTTTATAACCTAATAATTAAATTTATCCAATAGTTTATTACTTCACTATGATATCTGTTGAACCACATTTAAATTGTAATTGTTTATTGCACTTTATGAAAATTCTGTGATATGAAATGATGGTATTGATTTAAAATTCAAAATTAGAGATTTAAATTGTACTTTTTCAGGCATTGTTTGAAGCTGGTGTTGGACAGTGGGGTACTGATGAATCTATATTTAATTCGATCCTTGCTGCCGAAAGTTTTCAGCAGCTAGCCTTAACATTTTATGAATATAACAAATTGAGTGGTCATACAGTGGCTGAAGCAATTGAAAAAGAATTTTCTGGTGATCTGAAGAAAGGAATGTTGGCAATAGGTAAGAAAAGCTGCAAAAATATATTTTTACAATCTGTCAAATTGAAATGTTTTTCAGATTCTGTTTCAGGAAAAATATATCACTGAATGGTTACTTAAATTTAAAGGCTCTAAGAGGCTCACTCTTAGTGATTACAATTCTTGCAGTCTCGAGGTACCCTAATCCTTCAAGAGATCACCCTCTTGATGAGGGTCATTATCCTGGAGCTTTAGTGATCCTTCCTCCTTTCCTTTTCAACTATCCTTATCTGTTCCTTTTTCATTTTTTCCTCCCTTGTAGTTTTCCTTTTCAGAGGTTGGAACTCAGAATAATATGCTGTTACATCTCTTTGCTTCTAGTTTCTCATGGAGAGAAAACCACCTATGTGTTTGCCATGCATTGTGACCCGTAAGACTGGGAAGGAGGGTCCTGGTAGTTGAGAGAGTTACTGTCTTCAGCACACTGCTGTGGCATGTACTTCAGACTGAAATGGTAGACATTAGTTGCCCCCACTAGTGTCAATCAGTTAGTTACTATTCTTTAATGTCTGTGACTTGAGGATAAGCTTTTGGAAGTTCCTGCTTTTGGGAAAGCTGATTTTAGGGTTTCAGACTGCATATAGACCTGATTCACCTTGGTACAGGAATCTGCATTCCCTTATTGGATTCTGTGCCTGGTTCGAATCTTTTTTCCCTCTAAAATATGAGGCTTTAACGATACGAAGTTCTAACAAAAATGATTTTATCTCTCAAAAAATTAAGACAAATATAAATGCCAAAGAAAATAAAATTCCACCATGATTTGTGGTTATTAATAATACAGCAGGTGTTCTTCAGAATCTGTCATCATTCCTGATACAGAAATATATACTACATTCAAGCATCAGTGTACCAACAAACATAAAATAATTCCAGTTTGGAGCCCTAATTGAAACAACTTCTTTAATTCAGCTCTGTTATTCTTCTAGGATTAAAAATGCTTAGGCCTGTAAGTTAATCAGATCACAAAGTTAGTCGATGTAAGTTATTAAAACATTAAATTATTGTTGTGGCATAATTTCGGAAATCAACCTCCTTTCCAAATCAGAACAGGAAATTGTTTCTGAACTGTCTGACCAGAATTTCTGTACTGCAAAATGGATCAAGATGCATAAGGTATGTCAGTTGATTGATACAAAACACATCATCCTGACATGTTCACCTGATCTACTAAGAATATTAAAGCTGGGTACTTAAGCTGCTCTGTAAGATCTTATATACCAACCCCCTTGTGACTAAATTAACTGCTAACTGCAAAGGGCAGTACTTGCCTCTGTTGATTATGCTTAAAATGGAAGTCAAGAAAGGAAGTACAGATGCTAAAAGTTACAAAGAATTTTTTTTTTTTTTTTTTTTTTTTTTTTCCTGAAAGCCAGACAATTGGTAATTGAGATACAGCCACAAAATTTATCTTACACTAATACAATGAAATCAGTAAAATCAATAGGCACACAAAAAAAATGTGTGTACAGAATAAGCAGCCAAACCACAGTTAACAGCAAAGCATAGCACAGAAATCGGCAATAAAAATAACCAAAACACCAAATAATAAAGAAATTAATAAAGAATAAAAGAAAATTTCGATGCCTTCCAAAAATCCAAATGTGAGCTCCCTTGGGAACTAGAAAATTTAAATTCCAGTATGCTTGTGGACTGGAAGGCACCTACTTGAATTTAAACAGGAAAACTGCACCATAAAAGCAGACATTAACCTTTGGCCACTCTCGTTTCACAGAACCATTGCCGCTTCCACCAAAACTTCATTAACATTAAGGATTTGATCAACATACATCATCCTTCGCATTTGGCAAGTCAGGAAACTATGCTAAAACTAGAACAACAAAATAAACTTCAGAGATATTCTTTCACCAGGAAATATAATCTGGTAGATGAGCATATCAGTGACGATGTAGGTCTGCACACCTCATTTCACTACATTTCCAGTTCAATTGATTTCCTTAACAAACCTTCAAGCTGTTGCTATTTAAATAAATACTCAGTTTAGTGTGAATTTGTTCAGTTTATTTCCCTCAGATCATAATATCAGTCAACAAGATTCAGATGGCTTAATAAACCAGCTGCTTGAACCCTTTACCATAATATGGGATTTTAATGGCCATAGTCCACTCAGATATAAGGGCACAAATCCTCAAAGCAAACAGGTAGCGCAAATGATTGGAAATCACTGACTCTGTCTCTTCAATAATGAGTGAGATGTTTTCTTCCACAAGCTTACAAAAGACCTTTGATGCTCTTAATCCCTCCATCTGTTCATCATCTCTTTTGCCATGTATATTTATTGTAGGGAATCATTCTCACAATAGTAATCATCTCACCATCTTTGTGTCTTTCGCATAAGAAGTAAATCATATGTCAAGAATCCCTCATTTTGTATTTTATAGTGCAGAGTGGAAACTCTTCTCATCTCTTGCAGGATTCACAGGTAAAATTGTTCCTATTGATGACACTGTGAAAATCATCATTGCTGTCATTATTCAGGTAGCTACAGTTTCTATACCTATGACATCAACAAAGCTTCTTAAGTATTAAAAATCATGGTGGAATCATTAATGCCAAGAAACTATGAAAAAGAGAAAAGCTTGGAGAATTTTTCAAAGGTATCCCATTTTTTCGAACCATTTAGATTCAAAAAGCCAAAGCAAACACAATAAAAATAAAACAGAAGGATTCATGAATATCATAAGTATCATCAATAACCTCCTCTATGCCAAGTAAAAGAGTTTGAAAAAGTTAAAAAAATATTGAATATATAAAGACCATACAATTTTTTTTCGTGTAAAAGATGGCCGAGCAATTAATTAGCACCAAAGAAGAAATTTAAAAAATATGAGACCTTTACTGTCGTTTCTGTTAATGAGACCTTTGCTATCATTTCTAAATTGCATATATAAAGGCCATACATTTTTTTTTTTTTTTCCCTGTAAAAGATGGCCGAGTAATTAATTAGCACCAAAGAAGAAATTGCAAATATATGAGACCTTTACTATCATTTCTAGTTGCAGCATTTATCTGCCAGCATTTCTTTTTATCAACTGTCAGCATGAGAATTTTCCCATTTCTCTCACCTCTTCCAACTGAGAACCATATAACTGCAATTTTACCATCCTTGAGCTAAAGAGAGCATAGTTACTGACATATTGGTCTAGTTTAGATCTAGATGTTATTAGTTATCAAATGTTAAATCATCTCTCCTGCAAGCCATTGACTGTCCTTTTTGCACTTTACTGTTGGGTGTGGTGAATTTTTCCCATTCTATAAATAAAAAGTTCTATAAATAAAAAATTTTATAAATAAAAAATAATAAAGTTATCATTCCAGTATCTAAGCCATAAGAATATAAAGACCATACAATTTTAATCAAGCCAGAATATAAAGCCAGAAGAAAGATCCCTTCAACTATCGACATATCACATGTACCAGTTGAGTCTGCAAGCTATTTGAAAAATTGCTAAACTGTCCAGCTCGTTTATTACCTTGAAAAAAACCAAAGTTATCTTGCCATATTCAAGGGATTTCTGCAAAGGATGAATGGCCGTTGATAACATATTTCTTTCGTAAACATGATTCTTTAAGCCTTTATCAAAAGAAACCATCTTGTATCTGTAATTTTTGACATGGAAAAAGACAGAATGAAGAGACTGAAATTTATTTTTTCTTATTACACAAAACTACTTAAGAGGCTTTTAAATCAGAAAATCCTTCTGATGGCTATTGATAAAAGTTTTAGAAATTTATTGCATGATTGGACAGTTTACCAAAATTCTTTACATTTCATGAATTTCTCCTTTCTAGCAGTTCTTCATCTCCAGAACCTGTTCATATGCACACTGCAAGCTCTAATTTAATATTTAAAATGGCAAGTTAAAAGCCTTAGTCTACATCAAAACGCTTTGCCTATCATACTGAATTTTCATTTGTTGCCAAAAAAAAAAGTGTAAAAACAGCAATTCCTTCCAAAAAAAATTAAGTTAACAATTTTTTTTTCTTCAAAAAAAAAATCAAGTTAACAATTTTTTTTTAAGTTTTGAGACGCCAAATAGATAGATAGCAGTGTAAACTGATGTAATGAAACATAAATTAATTTTTAATAAATAAAGCAAAATTATACTCTTTGCTTTGCTAATGAAATAGTTTGAAAATATAAATGTATGCACATATGGGAAAATGTTTCACAACAATATTCAGAATTATTTCAGATTATGTTCGATTTTTACTAACTTATATTTTTCAGAATTTTTTAAATGGGTTCACAATTGCTCTTGAATATACTAGTGTATCTTGAATATTTTTTTGTTTTATTAATACCATTTTGGCTGTATAATATCTTTTATAATGTCTCTGAATGTATCTTATAAAAACAAAAATTAACTATTTTTCAACTAAAAATAAACCACTATAAATCATAACAAAATTCATTGTCATAGTAAAGTGCAAAGAGTTTTGTTGCATTTAAAATGCTTTAGAAAATGAAAATTCAGTTAGAGACAAATAACTTTCAAGTGATTTGTCATGAAGTCAAATGCAGATATTAGATCTGTGTCTCTGACAATAAAGGAGAATATTAATGTTATTTATTTGAAAATGTGAATGGTGAGCATATGTATGTATCTCGAAATTGACATCTGATTTTAAATAGGTACTATAAAATCGCAAAGTTCTAAAAATTAAAGATGACAAAAAGCTTTTCTGTTTTTCTTATTAATAACATTTCTCCAAACTGGATAAGCTGTCTATTTAAGTACAGTAAAATTCGTATAATGCACATATCTCAGATATGGATAAGTGAATTTGCAGATTCAAGTGTGTCTTTTTGAGTTTTGTTTACATTTTCCTTTTTTGACCTTTTCATTAAATATAGATTGTTACAGAATAATTAACTAAAACACGTGAATATCCTAAGAGGTACAATTGAATTAATTACTCTAAAAAGCGCTGGAATTGAAATTTTGATTTATTAATGTTCTGAGTCCATTTTGGTTCCTTATATTTTTTAATTTTTGATACCCCAAAATTTTACAAATGCTGTTTCCAAGAATCTATATTCTTCTTTTTCTGCTTGTTGTGCAAAATGTAAACTATGAGTTGCAAAATTAATTTAAGTTGTAACGCAACATCTAAAAAATTGTGGATTGAAAATTCTTGATATGTGTTAACAACAATACAAAATTAATATTAAAAGAGAGCAAAATATATATCCAAAAGTAAAGGTTTATATAAAGCAAAAAATCTGTAGATTAATTATTCATGCATACTAAATTAGAGCATTGATGCTGGTGCAGGAAATGCTAAAAAGCTTTAATATTAAAATTAATTTGCTTTTCCCATCAAAATAGGCAATAAATATAGAATACGTTTTATTAATTTGTTTGCACATACATATAAGGGAAAAAACTGAATGTTGGTATTTCAAAATTGACTATGAATTATATAGGCATTCATGGCTAAAACAGTCGCAAATTTTTGGGATTCAAGTTGATAGAAGATTCCTTTACTAATATTAAGCTAAACTGTATTGATTGAGATCACAATTCTTGTCAAACAGATGAAAAATAGATTAACTCTCAAATTAACTGGTATTTAACTCTTTTAATCTCTAATGTTTCTATTGAAACTCAAAATTTCGAAAGCATCGATATTGAAAGGTGCTTTTTTTTATTAGAATGTCTTAAGACTTGCACTGAAACGTTTAAGTTTTTTAAGCATTAATATGAAAGACACTTTTTTATTATAATACCAGAATGTCACTAGCACCTTTGTTTGCCTCTACATTCTTTTCCTCACAATATATTATTTATAATTGAATTGTGTAAGCATGTTTCTTGATATATTTATGTTCTTTAAAGTACTGGGGAAAATATAATTGAACAGGAATACGTAGCTGCTAGATTAAGCATATCTATTTCTGTGGAATTAAGATTATGTATCTTTCTTTACTATGGCACAAGAGCAGTGACTGTTATAAAAGCAGTTTTTTTCCTATGTGTAAGTAAAAAATCTAGCAACAGATGATCAACATCAAGAGTATCAACAACAAGACTTTTATATTCTGACTAATTTGTCTAGAAATTGTAATTTTTATACATAAACTAGTATAAAACTGCATAACAAAGATTAGTTTTTGTGAAATGTATTTATTTTATCCTTTTTTCCCCTCCAGCACAATGTGTTGAAAATCGTCCATTTTATTTTGCTGAAAAACTGTATAAGGCCATGAAGGTAGTAAGTGTGTGTTTATTAGCATGTCTTTTGCATTTGTATATATGTGTTTGTTAGCATGTCTTTGTTATTTTTGTAAGTATATGTTTATTCTAATTTGCCTATATTCATTATTTTTCAAATATATTCAAATGTATTTGAAAAATTAACTTCAAAATTATGATTAGGAGTAATTTCTTATTCTTGCTTTCCTATTAGGGTCTAGGTACAGATGATAGAACACTTATAAGGATAGTTGTATCCCGCTGTGAAATAGATATGGTTCAGATCAAAGCAGAATATGAAAGAAATTATGGCAAGCCTTTAGGTGAAGCAATTGCTGTAAGTTGTATTTATTTATCAAGATATATGATTGTGATTTTTTTATTTTAAGAAATGTATATTAATTTTTGTTATATATGCAATTTAAAAAAAAAAAATTTCAATCAAAGAGCAAGTATTTATTCAAATGTTTTATAACTTTGAATGGATATTTCAGAAACATTTTCTGATCATAATTTATTTTTAGTAAAACCAAAAAATTTTAAATATGGCTTTCTGTTATAATTAAATTTTCTCTTATTAATAAATATGTGTAAAATGTTTTGCATTCTGAAATTGAATTCTTTTTTAATATTAATTTTAATTAAATTTAACCTTGTAATGCTTCTGCATTAGATACTGAATTAAAATATACATTAATTCAATAAATTTTAAAATGTTCTTCAATGTAGTGTGAGCTGCCCAAATAGGAGAGTTACTCTGACTACCATATCAAAGGGCTTGGGTTTGAATCCCAAAGAGGGCATGGATATTTTTAAATGTGTAGTGTTTTTGTGACATGGAGGCAGTCTAAATATATGGCAACCCAATGTCCTTTCTTGTGAACTAGTGGTAGGGAAAGAGAGGTAAGAAATCCTCGAACCCCCACCCCAGGATGCTTTTCTTCAAAATTGGGATGGAACTGGACAAAATTGTACCGTCACCTAGGTAGTGCTCAAGGCTGACAGGCATAATCTTATTCTCCTAGCCGCGATGAATTTTGTGGGCTTGTTCTGATGTCAGACAAGCGAGATTAGTCACAACAACGTGTGTTGCCAAAATATTGGTTTTTCTAGAGATTGTGTCAAGGCTAATATAAACAAGGCTAGCAGTAGTCCAAAAAATACAATATTATGTAATCTCTTGAAAAATTATCCAGTCATCACAGGAAAACAATCTTTTAAAAAGATTTTTTATGAATTTTGTCATTATATTTACTCTTGTTATCATGCATTGTAATTCCATTCCATAATTCAATAAACTTTTTGCAATGAAATTAATGCTGATCAACAAAAAAAAAAAGTTAGTAGAATTTTTTTAATTC